TTTGTATGAATGTCATGAGCTTTATTCAGTGGCCGTCAAGATTAACTTTTTCACGTACTGAGAACGCGTAACATTTTTTTTTATAATTAGCGGTTCAACGTTGTAATTATGAAACGTGTTCTCGGCGTTATTCACACGGGAAAACGCGGGCCGCATGGCATGCGCTGGCAGTCCAGTGCCCGCCAACAGTACAACGTTCTCAAAGTTGGCGTTTAATCGCGAACACCATTACGAACGTTCTTTTTTTTTTCTCTTTAACCTCCTGCCGTTAAGTATACTTAACTGCTCGCGCTCGTTTGCCCCTAATTACTGACTAGACGACCTCGCCATCTAGTCAGTAATTGAAAGAAGAGAAAAGAGAAGGCGCCACAATCCACTTCTCCGAGAACTTGCTTCTCGCAAGCACATTTTGACGTTTTCGTTGTGTCCGCAGCGTCATCTTCATTGCCTTGGGTCAGGGTGCGCAAGACAGCAGCAAATAGACAATAAAGTTCATCGCCCTAGGACTAACGTGCATCCTAGATGGCAGCGCGAGCACGTTCCCAGCGTGTTAGTGGTTTTAATTATTAAAGAGGACGCTCGGGGTGCGTCACCGATCGAATCACGACTTCGTCTTTACGTTCGTTTGTCAGCGATTAACTGACCCCAACGAGCGATTATCAATTCAAAAATGAGTTCGTCTACCTTCACTTTCACTGATCTTGGTGCGGTTGTGATTGTGCTGAAGTGAAAAAGACGCAGGCAGAAATGTGAGCCCCAAATCGATTTCTTTATTAACTTTCATATATACGTGATAGATCGATACGTGTAGTTTAACGTCCCAAAATCACCATATGATTATGAGAGACGCCGTAGTGGAGGGCACCGGAATTTTCGACAACCTGGGGTTCTTTATTTCATATATACGTCGTACCATCTTGAATATTACGACGTTATAGGGACACTACAGTAGATCAATAAATCTGCTTGGAACAATCAGTTATACTTTGAGTCCTCTAGTTTCGTTATTTTGCCAAGATAAGCTTGTCAGTACATGAGAAAATTAAATGCCGAACGCACCACATTAAAATTTTCCCCCGAAATCTCCGATGGTGACACCGCTGATATCAACGTGTTTTTTTGTGTTTTGGCCACAAAACCTCTACTAAATTTCTTGAAACATGGTATGTAAAGTACTTGGTTTTGTTCTTATTTCCCTTCACTTGTGGCTCATACCCACTGTGTGAGATCGGCCAATAATTGAGTGGTCTTATAAAGTATTATTCGATTTCAGAGTAAAGGAAATTAAAAAATGGAAAACGTTACAAATTTTAGAATGAAACTTCGATGATCGCTGACCTGTACTTACTATAAAGTTTTTGTATTAGTAATAGATAATAACCTAGATGAAAACCTAGCTTAAAAGGGAAAACAAAGGAAAAGTTTTTCACTCCCTTAGAAGAGATTGCACTTCGTTTTCCCATATTGGGGATAACGCAGGCCCCTGTAAAGTGGTGTTCACACGACAGACAAAATTGCAAATCAAGCCAGCGGACTGCGTACTACGTCACTGTATACGTCAGTCATTCTCGAGTGTCCGCTTCGGTCTGCGCGGAGCGATTCGCGAAACCACGGAGGCACAAATCACAGTTGCGATCCTGCGGGAGCAATGGTGCAATCATGCCTTCTTGAGTGAATTCTCCCCCGTCGTGTGAATACTGGCTGCGGAGAGATGCAAAACACGTCCCACGTCGCGCGACTGATTCGTCCACGACCCCGTCAGTCGTGTGAACGCAGCCGAAATGCCGTCAAAATTTAGGACGTCTTGGCGATTCATCAAAGAACACCAAGGTGTCGTCGCCAGCCACGTTTTCTTTTCGAGCGTTTTCTTGCTTATGAAGCGTCTTCTATATGAAAGTGTAGTAATTTTGACATTGTGAATTAGTAATTAGTTGGTTGATACGAGAAAAATCTTTCAGTGTCATTTTAAAAGCGTGCAGCGCTACACATTTCCTGTTGTTCATCACATATTCATTGTATACCGTAATGTGCGTCATAAGCTCACAGCACTTTGACGTTTTCAATGTCAAAACATTTTAGGGTATTTTCGGAAGAAAAACATGCGCCTGTCTATCCTTAGTATACAACGCGTCACAGGGCACAGAAATGCAAAGAAACGTCCATCAGGTTAGCTCAATTAGTGGATCGTTGGAGTAGTAAGTTGAAGGTTGTAACTTTGGTCCTCGATGAAAGTGAGCGGTTCTTTCGTCTATTAATTCATTTCAATTTGTGTCATGATCATTTAGGTAAGTATTCCCTTCAAAAAAAAAAACTTACAAATAATGCCCCTATATACTTATACTATATACGAATACAGGGAATATTGTGTAAGTATATATGACTACACCGCTACACATAGAAAAAAGCAGTACAGTTACCGAAGCAAGTCATCATAACATGCATTCGGTGCTGTACAAGCAACCATATCATACTATCATTGAAGAAATTTGAAGTCTAGAGCGGCGTCCTGTGTGTTTCTTGGTCTTATCCAGGGTCTTTCCTGTGCTAATCAAACACGCCCGAACTCTGCAAACCACACAGTGGACTAACTAAAGCCACTACGCTGACCAGAACAAGCGACCATGACTGTAGGGTAATGCGGGCGTATATAGGCTAGAGTTCACTTCGTGATGGCTAATATGGGTTAACGGCGGTGACTGTTTGAGAACTGATGATGATATGTGGGGTTTAACGTCCCAAAACCACCATATGATTATGAGAGACGCCGTAGTGGAGGACTCCAGAAATTTCGACCACCTGGGGTTCTTTAACGTGCACCCAAATCTGAGCACACTGTTTGAGAACTGCATAGTCACATGTTTGTCTAGTAATGAAAATTCAAACAACTCTTGCACACTGTTTCAGAACTTCCTATAGAAAGTTGCCGCTTATTGCGTTCTATGCTTGGGACATTTATGACAGACATTATAAATGCACTGTGCGGTGCTTTTACGAAGGTGCTTCTCAAACCGAAGACTAAATTTTGGATAGAACGTCAATACTGAAGACAAACTACCGATGGTTATAACACGTTACTATAGTGGTTTAGACGCATGCACGAGCGGCTCGTGTTCCCCAAAAACTCAACCTCATTTGCATGTCGTTCCACAATATTTTGTGCACCTTACCTACAGCATCAGCTAACATTCAGTTACGTATTCCTAAGGCTTCCTACAGCAGTACTGCCGAGCAGTGATGCATCGTCCTAAGTAAACGACACCTTCTCCTTTCCCATCCGTTCTTTCCTCCATGACCCCTCCATGAGAAAAAAAAAGCACACACATAACTGCACCAATGCTGTAGCTATAAATAAGCTCACGTCCGAGACCTTCCTTGTCCACATATGCTACCCATCCTGGCAGCGCCTACATATTTTCTTTTCCTTTTGCGTACAATCGGGCATGTAGTTGGCACGCGTGAAGAGACTTGTTTGTCGGAGACAATAAGCAGGCGCGTGTACGATTTGTTTACTTTCTGAAAAAACGCCCGCACCGCCCACACTTTGACCGCAACGCCATATACACCCTACACTGTATTCAGCCTAGATAGAAGCCAGACCACCCCTCTAGGAGGCGGCCACACAGACGAGATTTAGGACAACGACGTAGATAACGACAGTGAAGGCAGAGAACGAGGCGGCAATGAAGGTCGCCTTCTTCTGCGTAAGCTAACACGGGATGGACTGCGGAATCACTAAGCGAGTGAAGCGGGACTTGGGAAGATAAATCATGGCCCACCTGGCAGTGAGTGCACGCGTGCGGTGGTAGTACAAAAGAAAAAAAGAAGAAGAAGAGGGAGCGACATGTCATAAATAATGAAGCTGCTGGAGTGGTCCTTGTTCGCGTGCCATGGACGGGACAATCGAAGCGACTCCGTGTGCAGGCGATGTCCTCAAGTGTGGGCTCGAAGACGGAGGACTCTACTGGAAATAAAGCAATCAGTGCCACGCCGCTAGACCTTTCTTGAGATGGATTGGCGCCAGGGGCAGGACGTATGGGAAACACGCACATATCTTGAACGTCATGCATTGCCAACCAGGGGCAAGAGATGCCGAGTCTGCTCTCGCACGCGAAGCAGGAAGCGACCGTATTACGCTGCATTCTCGCGGACTTACGGCTTCATGACTTCTAAGCATTTGGTGCACGACAATGTAAATGCACGTGGTTTCCCAATCACTCATGCCGTGACATCCGCGTTTCGGTAACCATTGGTCTCGCACCGGTTATCGGTCACCATTACCAGCGTTACGCCGCTGTTAGTTCCATGCGTGTGCGCGAGTAGGTCCTGGGGCCGACTTTGGTTGCGAGAGTATTTGATAAGACTTCAAGTGACATCTTAAGACCTCAAGGCTCCCTCGTACTAGCGCTGAGCTTTTAGTCGCAACAGAAAAAGAAGTTGATGAATCAACATTGCAATAACTTTGTCGATCGAGCAACCCCAAGGTTGTACCTCAGGCACAAACCAAAAGTGAGTCTGCAATAGTCATGCGCACATGGAGAGAAGCCCTTACCCTCCCCCATCCTCCCTACGCACCTCGTCTTTGCGCCGGTGGATAGCAGGGGAGGATTAGGATTGGAGGGGGGGGGGGGCGGCTGCAGGGTTGAAGAATGAGGTGCAGTCAAGCTTCGTCCCCACCCCTTTACTGAAAAACCCTGACCATGCCTATTGGATCTATAACGCTTAATTGCCCTTTGAAACGACCATCGCTGCATGCGCCTCGCTGAGGTAAATTGAAAGTGGTATGGCACGGCGAAACTCCTCATATTACTTCAAAACCGTCTCACGGCTCATTTGTTTGTTTTCTTCTTTTACATCTCTTTCATTGCTGCTCTTCCAAAGCACGTATACCTGCTAAGATAATATTTTTGTAAACTACGTAGACGGCATTAACGCGGTATGGTCGTGTACTGTGTTGCCTGAAATTTAACCGGTTTAGCTTTCCTGTCTTGATCTCATTACAGTGTGGCTACTCCCCCCTGCATCAGGCGGCTACCGAGGGTCACGAGGAAGTGGTGCGGCTACTGGTCAAGCACAACTGCCTCGTCGACGTACAAGATGAAATGGTACGTCAAGATGTCTGTGCAGGACAGCGCGCCTGGCGCACAACGTACACACAAGCCACACATCACACATTCATTGCATACACATTGCACACACATTGTACTCACATAACGGACACATCGCGCTTTCGTTGTACATACATTGCACACAAAACACATGGCCCCCTCTCCTATTCTAGCGGTGACAGCAACAATAGTTATCTCTTTTTTCCAAGACGACACCCAATACTACATAAGTCGAAGCAGAACAAGCTCAGTGCCTTGCTTACGCGATACATTTCATGCAGTACTGGAAATAAAAACAGTTTTAAGTAAGCAATCGTGCGTTCCCTTCAATCTCCGGCTTCTCACTCTGTTTTTTTTTTTGTTTCGATATGCAACACAATCAACAAGCACCCTATCAAGCATTAACAAGCTGAGGCTTCATATCGTCAGCGCAGAAATAAAACAAGCACAGAGCAAGTAGGAAGTAGCAGTCGACGTCCCAAGGTTCGCAAATGACAAATGAAGTGACAGTTCAATCCCCCAAAGTAAGGCTATTGGACACCGCCACGGGCAGCTCGATGGGAACACTTCGCTATGTAAGGGCGCGGCAAAGTATTTGGGGATTAAAGAGCTCGGGGATGCGCAGCCGGAACCGAGGAAACAGGCCGCTGTGCGAACTCGTGCAAGGATACGACACACCCGACGAGCTTCCGATGTTTGATAAGGTTGGTCGCTACGCTCTCCATCACGAATTTGAAAGCTTTACTTTTATGCGATTCTCATGGCCTCGAGCGCGGAATTCAACTTAATTTTTTACTGCGCCTTCGGACAAGATTCCGGACAGGGATCTCGAACAGGATTCTGTTCGTTCAGCTGCGTTGCCGAAACCGACTCCAGTGTGTATGTCCTCAGAAAACTGGTTCGTATTTTATTGAGAATTCCTTGTTCTTTCGGACCGGCGCAACGGTTGATGTAGGGCGTGGTGGCGTAATGAGTTTTAAGTTTTGTGAATCTTAACGTTCGCACCACATTTAAAAGTGAAAACTGAACACCGTTGCCTACTTGCTTTTTTTTTAATATTTACTGCTTGTTAGGCGAAAGAGACAAAAAGAATGAGCAAAGACTTTCGTTCCACTTTATACGTACCTCACTAAGAAAACAATTGAAAATACTAAAAAAACAACAGTTATAAAATTTAGTGGGAAAATGATTATTCTCAAGTTTAATGTAGTCCGCTGTCGCCAAGGCAGCATACGTAAATAAACTACAAAAAAAGGTACGAGAAAATTCAAGGCAAAATGACCAACTGCACGTTCCACGGCTGCACGTTTCACATTGAAAGCCGAGCGCAGTAGCAGAGGTGTAGCAACAGCTCAAACACATTATGTTAATTGCAGTCTGGTTTATTGATTTACATATAACAATAAAGGAAAGCCCAGTCACAGAGAAGTTTCTGCGCGTCACATTAAAAAGGTTTATTTATTTATTTATTTATTTATTTACTTATTTATTTATTTATTTATTGAGTTTATTAACTTAATGACATTCTGCAGGACGTGTTGATTGGCTTGGGCGTGGCTCTCTGGTAGAACAGGGTACATGCCTCCGAAAATATTGCAGCGCAAGACGGCATATTTACGCTATTCAAATGGATGCTCAAATTTCATTAGGACAGCCACAAAATGGGTACCGAGCAGCACTCTCTCCTATTTATTTCGGCTCTTCCTTGCTGCTTTCATGCTATGAACTGGGAACCTAACAACTTGATCACATTACCATGAACACTGAGCGCAAATGTTGCTGCGGGTTAAAACAAATGGTGGTATGCCATTTGTACGCACGTTAGACATTGAGTCTCGATCACACAGTGGTTATTATGCTCAGTTGCTGGCCCGAATTGTCGTGGGTTTGACTCCAGTTACGGTGGTCGTATGACGATGAAGGTGATGTGCTATAGGGGCCCGTGTACTGTGCAGTGCCAAGGCACGCTGAAGAACCCCGTGATCGTCGAAATTTCTGGAACCTTTTACAACACCGGCTTAACTCATATTCATATCATCAAAGACACAACGATCAAGCAGAAGTAGTAAAATAGAGCTCGTAAAGGGCAATGCGTACACGTTGCTTCACGTGGGAGCATGCAATATAAAAAAAAGTGGGCACGCCACAAAAGCATATTTTGCGGGGACGAATAATTAAGACCGATAACGGTCATCCTACCGATTTCGGCGAGAATTCACTTGAAATTGTGAAGAGTCTAAACTAGAGTTCTGTTTATTCATTGGGCGATGATAGCTTACGAATTCAGCGCTGCAGTGTGCTTTGCCCACTACTCACCCACGCTTCTTAAATATATTGTTCCATGGATGTAACTAGGAAAAAGTCGTTCAAATCCTGGGGGACGTTATGAAAGAGAGCGAATGCAATTGGTCGGTGCACCCCTACAAGTTTTGATTGTGCTTGGCCACGTGATTTAAATACATCGAATCAACGCATTCGGAGAGCACAAACACGACGTATGAAATAAAGCTACTGTGTGATATGCATACAACTCGCTCAACGGAGCTGCGAGAACACGCGGGTACTGCAAAAGTGAGTAGCTTTGCCCATTCAGTGCCGAAGATGCATGTTCAGGTTTTGGCCCAGCCTCATAAACCGGTCTAATCTTTACGAGTCAGCCGCTGGAGGCGAGGAAAGATAAGTTGGGCGAGTCATGGCTAACTGCTTAAGATAGACTTGAATCTATTATGTCCGCCCTCGGGAGGCCAATCACACGACATTAAAAACTAGACGCGTTAATAGCGCCTATATTTCGTCGTGGACGCGCTGCTATAAGACAAGTCCGAGGGATGTAGCACAAGCTCACTCCGCATTCCGGACGGACGTTAATATCCACGTCGTAATCTTCAGTGGAAACGGTAGTTAACGTAGTAATAGTTACCCATGAAGAAACCGAAAGAGGGACAAGTAAGAAGGAGAGCCATAACAGCTGCTACAAACACACAAAGCGAACACATTAAGATGCGAAAGATTATCTTTGGGGGATTATCTTATGACGGGGCATGGGTGACTGGGGGAGCTGACGAGTGCGCTGTTGCCTTTGAACTTGGGCGCGATACTCGATGGATCCACCCTGTAGATCATCCACTTCGGCCTCCGCTGATTCACTGGAGTTCGGCGAGCAGCGCGCCTCCCGTTTTTGGTCTTTCTTCTGCAACGCCACTTTGACGTCGCGAAGCTTTCACGACACTCTACACAAACGGGAAAGATAAAATGCGTTTCACCGCAGCCAATGCTGCCCCCCGAGATCCGCTTTTAGACGCACATCTTGGAGGCCCTTGACCATGAATGAGCTCTAATCACGTCGACGAACCTGGAAAGTCGGTACGCATTTGCATCGTTCTGAAGCATCTGAACAGGTTCGTACGCAAGTTCAGGCTTGTCAAGTTTCTTTAAGAATGCGAAGCATTTTTTAGCGAACTTCAATGACTTTCAGCGAATCTATCTATCTATCTATCTATCTATCTATCTATCTATCTATCTATCTATCTATCTATCTATCTATCTATCTATCTATCTATCTATCTATCTATCTATCTATCTATCTATCTATCTAATATCTATCTATCTATCTATCTATCTATCTATCTATCTATCTATCTATCTATCTATCTATCTATCTATCTATCTATCTATCTATCTATCTATGACTTTTAGATCTCCTGGCCATTTCAATATTAGCATTAGTCGCAAAATTGTTATAACATTCCATAACTGTATGACGAGCATAAGTGACTAGTCATAACATGAAAATTATGATATATGTCCATAATACTATGCTTACGTTTCATGGTCTTGCTGCTCTAGCGGTGGTTTCGCTCATATGACATATTGCAAAACTGGTATGGTATCACATGATTGCATGGCGAATGTAAGTGAGAGACCCTAACGTGAAAATCACGACATGGATGTCATGTAAGTCATGACTACACGCCATGCTCATGGTACGCTCTCGGTCGTTTCGCTTGCTTCACATATGTCATAATTAGTATTACGGGACATGAATGAATGACGAAGGTATATCGTCATCCATTCTGGTTCAAACATGATGATCATGACATGCGTGTCATGTAAAACATGATTACATGCGACGCTCATAGCGTGCTCGTGGCTGTTTCGCTAGCTCCACATATACCAAATTTGTTATCACGAAGAGTGGGTCGACGACGAAAGTAAATGACACGTCAAAACACGATAATCATGATATTGAAATCGTGTGGCATAATTTACGTCCGCCTCGTAACGTTGTGCTCATTTGAAGTGACATATCAACGTTCCTCATTCGTGCTTCGCATATCATCAATTCCCGCTATAAGTGGGATGTGCCAATTTTGTTAGTGTCCTGTTATTGTAGATGTCTTCCACTTTCTTTGTTTTTAGGCGGGAATGTATTTTGCGGGTTTGGTGCATCGATGTAGTCAAGAGCGCTATGGTGTCGTAGTTTTTTCGGGCATTTCAATGCGCTCCGCCAAAGTAGATAGTTCACTAAATTAACCTATTGAGAATCGCGCCCTTGGTTTCACACTGGCTTGCGTTTACCGAAAACAACAGACCCATCATTAATATAGTGAAATGTGTGGTTTATTGTCCCGAAACCACCATATGACTATGTAAGGCGGCGTAGTACAGGGCTCCAGACATTTCGACCACCTAGGGTTTTATAAAGTGCACCGAAATCTGAGCACATCGGCCAACATCATTTTCGTCTCCATCGAAAAAGCAGCCGCCCCAGCCGGGATTTGATACCGCCACCTGCGCCGGTCAGCAGCCGAGTGCCTTAGCCGCTTGACCAACGTGGCGAGGCGCACCCGTCTTTACATTCACCTCTTTTCGTAACAGTTACTAACTACATACGGACAAACGAGATATAGGCAAAAGAGACACCTCGGAAGAAAAACAATCGTCGTGTCTCTACTCTGCGAACCAGGCAGACATGAACAGGTGCGTTTCGAGTGGCGAGATAAAGTTGACTGCTGCGCAGGCGACTTGCACACGCTTGAATCAATCCCTGTAATGTTGTCCCCAAAGCGCACCGCACCGTACGCACTCGTCCCGCGATTACGACCGCGCCAGAGGGCTATAAAACAAAATGGCAGCGGAGTAAACCATCTACTCTCCATTCCATTCTCCCCTCTCTTCTTCCTCCTCTCATTAATTATCTGAACTGACTCAGCCGCGATGCACTCGCATGCGGCCACAGTGACCTTGGCCTCGGTGAGGTCGGAGAAAAGGTCGGAGGTTAAGTCACCGAGGGGTTACATCACTGCAGGAGTGATGCGGGCCCCGCAGTTGGAGAGATTGTTTGGAGAGATGGCGGGAATGGCGGGCTTGAGACGAGGGAGTGCCCCCGGCTCAGTGCTCGAAGTTGCAGGCGCAGGTACTGCGAGGCGGGTCGGGCGTTTGGTTGTTAATCTGAGAGCTTGATAAGATGTAGGTTGGCCCAAGAATGTTTAGTTCAGCAATGTGGGTGCTGCACGGGAAAAACCTTGCTTTGTCTTTGGGAAAGAAAAGGGGCAAGCCATTCAGGGTCACGGACAAGAATTTGGTTGTATGATGCAGCGCAGATCGCTTGGAAAACGTTGCGGTCAATTTAAAAGTACTAAGCGATAGGCCAAACAGCAAGCTGCGCTGTATCTTGCGCTTTCTGTTAGTGCGCTTGGCTGCTAGTGATAGAGCTCGGTCGGCAACGATTTGAGATGAGACTACGTGGCAAGTGGCGCGGGCCTGATCGCTGCAATGACCTTTCGTAGCGGTAACCCACGATATGTTCGGGAATGACGTAGTAAGGCATTGCGAAGACAGTTGAAATGGACCATTTACAGGCGATGATAAAATCTTTAATTGTGTGAACTTTATGACGACGATGAATCCAAGAATTGTGGACTAGAAATCACGAACTATGGCGAGTCAGTACTACGCATACAAACAAAATAACGAGAAAGTATTGAAAGGGAACGCATGCGAGAACGCATTTCTTTTGTAACTGTACCTGCAGAACTTTTCAATTTGAAACAAGGGTCGAGGTTTTCACGTAATCTGCACTGCTATAACATATCTGGAGGCGAAAAAGTAAAGAAAATTTGAGGAAATGCCTTACGTCTATCCGCAAGTCATTACCGCAAAGCTACAACACCGATGCTTACGTGCAAGACATATTTGTTCGGCTGCGGTGACACGCAGTTGTCGTAGACGCGCATTACGAACAGCTTCGCAACTGTCAAACAATTACAAATACTTACTATGATGTTGCAGCCGGTGCTTGAAAGCGCTCATGGTGTTGCTTACAAACTCACCACACTTTTATGTAAATTTGAAACGACTAAAATAATTCATTGATTGACCGACTGACTGATTGATTCATTTATTGATTCACTGAATGATTGATCTTTTTTTTTGTCCAGCACGGGAACACAGCTCTGCACGAGGCCGCTTGGAAAGGCTACAGTAGGACAATAGAAGTTCTATGCAAGAACAAGGCGAATGTGTACATAAAAAACAAGGTAAGCGGATGTCCACGCACGCATAAAGAAAGCTTTAAAGGGGCACTGACACAAAGTTTCGCGGCCGAGACAGTCTGTGGGCTCAATCGCCGGGAACATGTATATCATCTGCAAAATATGCACAGCGAATGTAGCTGGGAAGGTATTTTAAAGGAATTTTGAATTTCACGTGAGCCCTTGATACCATCGTTCCATCGGCACCCTAGAAGGCACTTCCCAGACTTCACCACGCTGAAGTCAACAAAACAAGTTATGACGATGTCATAGCCGCCATTTTTCTTCTGCCGCGTTTGTTCCCGCAGTCTATATTTTCAGCGGCTGGTTGCGAGTGTGTGGCCGTGGCGCATGCTTATAAAGTTTTGTTTGGCGACATTGCAGTCTCGTTTCTTATTCGAAAGTAATTCTTGATGCGGACCATGAGAAAGTGTGTCACACTTCTGTGTGCGTATGGGGTCAATAGCTGCACACGCTAGGTGGCGACAGTTGCACCCAGTTTTCGGAGCTTTCTCAAACTGAAACTGGAAATGATCGATAATGAAGGACCTGTAATTATTTATCTGTCGCATGATGAAGCACACGATATCATAACTAACAAGCCTCAAGCAATCAGTTGCAGCAGAAAAACGCGAGACTGAAGTTTTTGTGTCATTACCCTTTTAATTCCGGCCCAGAATTTTCCACCAGGTAATCATAAGCATTCGCGTTCCAACTTGGGCTGAACGCTGATGCTACGAATCTTGAACCTTTTGAACTGGCGCATGATGAAAGTATTAAAAAGGGGGTAGGGCAGCCCGCTTTAGAGTGATGCAAGGTGGGACTAACAGCGGAGATTGCGCCCGACTTAGATTAATAAAAGGAGCCTCCATATTGAGGTATAAATTAGCTTAGAATTAGTAAGGTTGTAATTATCAATGTAATACATCACTCAATAATTTTTGAGCTAAAATAGGCGTATGGTTTATTAAAATCAACATAACTTTAGTTAGTTACATTAAATAAATGTGAGACCACTATTTACTATGACCCTAAACGGCATAATAATAATTATTACAATCCCGATTGACCAGGTGGTAGGTGACGCGCGATGTTATATAGAATCCACACGAAATGATGATAGTTTTCTGGTGACGCGAACCGGCGCAACAAAAAACTGAAGAGCTTAATTCTAACAAAAAAAAAGAAAAACTGCTTACCATGTTCTTTCCTTCTTTAGGGCGGCTTCTCTCCACTGCATCTCGCGTGCCAGAATGGTCACAACCAAAGCACGAGGGTTCTTCTGCTGGCTGGCTGCAAGCCGGACATTAAAAACAACGTAAGCTCAGAAGGTTTCATATTTGCAAGTGCATATTTGAGCAATCGCAACTTGCGATTTGTGAACGCGCAATGAGAGGTGAACGGTGGCGTTGTGGCTGTACATGTTTACTCGCGTACTATATATACAATCGCTGATTATGAATAGTTGTAACGTAGTCTAGTATTTGTTACACAATCATTAATTTTAGCTGATGCTGGATGATTACGGCCGGATTACCGATTGTCTGGGTACGTGTTGGCCTGTTATTGTTCAATGCCACCTGGTGTTGCCTTTTCTTCACTGAATTACACAATCGAAAGTGATGGCAACCGTAAGCTAAGCGCAGTCATCACGAGAAAAACATTACTTTTATTCGACCTCACTCTATAGTAGAAGTTGTTGGGATCACTCATGCCTATACAACAAACCAAGTTTGTAGCATGGTCTGACGTATTTCTCTGCTATACGCCTCAGAGGGCGTAAAATAGGTCGTCGCCTTCCACAACCATAACCTGCCACTCAAGTCCACATTGAAAGGTTACATACAACATGTCCAGTTACATCCGAATGGCAATTTAATCCGGATGGCAACCCTGATGGCAGTTCGATCCGGATCCGGATGGCAGTTCAATGACCCACAGAGTCTTCGTCGCCTGGTATACCATCTCTATTGCGTAGCTTCTGGGAGGCGTCAAGAAAGCTTTAGCATCAGCGGGTGTCGAACCCAGAGTCTCATTTTCTCAGCAGTGGAACTCCGCGGCAGACACAGTAGTGGTTAAACATAAATATGTTTAACCACTACTACAAAACAAGTTGCTAAGCGATATATCTGAAACGCCTAAAACTGCAAAGAAAGCAGTGAGCTTGCTGGAAGATCATTTCTTAAGTCAGATCAGGCAGAGAGTTCAGCAGTGTTAGTGTCACTGTTAATATCGAAAAAAATGTACAAAGTAAAAAGACACCGGCAGAAACCTAGTTTCTGAAAGGCATCGAAGCAGCAACTGATCACCTTTCGAGGGTATCTATACAAGAATAAGAAAGAAAGAGGCTTGGAGTGCGCACGAACTGATCCAATTGTCTAATCGCACTGAATTAACTATCGATTGCGCGAATGCCAAAGCGCACGAAAAAGTCACTTGACGAGTTGCCTCACCTGGTGCTATAAGCGTAGCACGTGATGTTCAAGACAGCTCGACACGCAATCTTCCCAGCGAAGAAACGTGTTCCTATTCTGCCTATATCAGGGCGGAGATAGATTCGGAATTGATTCGCATTGCCTCGAGCACCCAATACCAAAGGTCATGTAAGATTTAAAATCAGCCAATGAGTCGATACGATAACCTGTCTAATGCAGTGCAGTGTATACCCGGCGACAACTTTCTGTGGCAGCACGGCCAAGGCTACGTGGGCGGAGCCTATGCACATGTGCTACTGCGCCAAGTAGTCCGACCGCTTCGACGGGTGTTTCGGTTTCGATTTCACCAGCGCAGTCCGCGTCAGCGCATTCCCACAACGGTGCCATGTGAAAATTCGGTGAATTACGATCTGCGCGCAAGCACCATCGAGCTTAATCACGCGTGAGTGGCGTTCATCGACGGCATATACACATGTATATCTATCTAATTTGCAAGAGTGATATAACTGTTCATAAAATTTATTTTATTTGCAGCAGTATTTGAAAAAAAATTCATGGATTCGGCAATAAGTACTCAATTTGATGTTCATCTCGTCCGCAAAAGACACAGGCTGTGTCTAAACGCAGCGCGACGACTTGTAATGCGATCTTTTACTGCGAAAGAATATAACAAAGCGTAAAGCCCTCTACGAGAACAGACTCTATTTGTAACGAATGTCGGCGCACTTTTATTGTGGGAAAAACATTAAAGGGACCGATAAGCTCAGGATAGGGTCCTGCCACCTTTGCCGCCTGGTGCGCGAAGCCCTGTGGTCAGGCCTTGCCGAAAGGCCTCCTCCCGTGTCGTGATGTTCGCGTCTTCCCATACTTTATCCTTTGTGTGTCCGGCGTTGACCCAGGTTTCGTCAAGGTAGTATATGGGTCTGGAAGAATAAACAACAAAAATGAAGCATGTCATCTGCAGCGAAGCGCGGCGAATGCAGCGAAACTCGGCCCGTGTCACAATTATTAAAAATTGCTCGCGTTTCGGCTCGCGTTTGCTCGCGTTTCGCTGCAGGAAACGCGAGTCGCATCTTTGGGAACTCGAGAGCAATTTTTAATAATATTGTGACGTCATTTACTGACGCGTGGACCCAGGTTGCTGGGTGAATGATACATTCAATTATTCATGTAATGGTTACACAACTCATCATGCACGTACCGTTTTTGAGCGCGAAGTTGTCGGATGGTACGCAGGTACCGCCGTCGCCACGTGATGATGTCGTCTCTTTCCAAAAGCTCACAGTTTCTGTTCCGTTTGCGAAAGGAAAAGCCGATATCGTTAAGCAGCCTTTGCATCGTTCGCACGCTCATTTTAGGCATGTTCATGTCACTGTCACTGGTTACATCTTGAGCCAGTTTTGCAGCTGTTGGGAGTTCATTCCTCAGAAAGTATTGATGCACTTTTCTTCGTAGAGCTTCGAGGGAGAAGCTGTCGTGAAGCTCCAGTCTTGTCTTCCCGGTTTTCGCACGGTCATTCATGGCGGGGAGGCGCAGGCGCTTGCGCTTCGGTGACTTCAGGGTTCCACTGTTAACGTCGAGCTTAATCCGGAAGACACTGCGCTCGCTAACACCAGTGAGCTCGCTGACTTTCCGACATGCGGCTCTCACAGACAGCTGCGGGTCGCTTTTCCTTACTTGCGCGTAAACGTTGTACGCCACCTTCTTGGCCAGTACGGACAGCTTTTGATTTGACAACGCCTGGTACGGCTGCGCAGCTGGTGGACTCGCGGCACGCGGCGGTGTTTCCTCCGTAAGCGACGTTGACGAGCTGTAACCGGCGGACGCCATCTTTGACAGTGAGGAACGCGGTGAGGTAAAAAGACGACGGAAGCCAAAAAACCCCAAAAAACCTGAGAGAGCGTGAAACGAAATTTTTTCTACTGCGCAACGTTTTTATTCACTAATTAAAAAATAAATCCGCGAAAAGTGTAAGGGACGAATGGTAAAATCTTAGTTACCCAGAACAGTATACAAACGTTTTCGTTGAGGGACTACATGCTGTGGCGCAGTAAGACAAGCGTGCTTCGGCTCCGTAGCCTTGGCTGTGCTGGCACAGAAAGTTGTCGCGGGGTATAGTACGAAACTGCGCTACAGGACAGATGCTGTAACCTCCTATTCACACGCGTGTAATTACATCATTGGAAACTAAGACACTTACATACCTTGTCACGTTCTTTAGCAAGTTTATAATTGTCATCGAGACAAAGCAGCGAGCGCAAAGGGGATTATTACACGCTGTTCCTGATCTAAACCCATGTGGCTGACAAAAGAAACAGTGGCAACTTATCCTGAAAACGGCAACTTATTGGTGATGACGGCGTTTACATTCATAACGCTGCTTGTTTTAACGCCAGCGTGGGCAACGCGTCGATGCACTGTTGCGTATACGCACTTGAGAATATTTATGGCCAACAAAAAGTTACGAATGGGATTGATTGATTGATTTGTGGGGTTTAACGTCCCAAAACCACCATATGATTACGAATGGGAGCATCGATACTGCCTTATACGCAGCGCATCGTACGTGTCCCTCCTAACTATACGCACCCAATGATCGGTATCCTCTGGACGTTATCCGTTCTCTCCCCGATCGTACCAGTACTGGTAATTATTACTACGGGAATGACCCGCAGTGAACTTCCTATGGATTGCAATAGAGAGAAAGAGAATTAGTTTAATGGGAAGCTGGAGAGGTTTAGCTTCACTGCCAGAACCTCGTGCCTCATTTTGCCAGACAGTCTTGTCATATTGCACACGCATTCCTACGGGATATACAACTCCATCGAGGATTTCAACTCCCCCATGAGCACCTGTGCACATGTTGAACTCACGGTTCCAGGCATAGGGTCAAAAGCCCGGTTCTCGTCTCCAGCGCTAAAGCAGCTTTCTCTTCTCTTGTTATATGAGAAATACAGTGACCATACTCATCTATATATTGACGCTTCAACTAAAGTGGATGGGTCTGCAGGGTCGGTGATATTTCCTGCAACAGCGACAACGGTGAAGTTTCGTTCATCCCACCAGACATCATCGACAGCTGCGGAACTTGCTGCTCTACGTAGCGCAATTCAAGTCATCAAACACCAAGAAGCCAAGAAATGGAGCGTGTTCACGGACTCTAAGGCAGCACTACAGTGTTTGATATTCGCCTTACGCCGGGGACCTCATGAACAACTAGGGCTGGAAATTAGAGAGCTGCTTCACCACCTCTTCGACGAAGGACACAGAATCACGTTTCAGTGGCTTCCAAGTCACTGCGGCATATTGGGCAACGAACATGCCGATGCAGCTGCCCGATCAGCACACGAAGATGGGGAAGAAAAATCTATACCATTTTCAAGGACTGATGCTGCAATGACCATCCGAAAAATCGCTAATGCAGAATTAAAATCCCTGTGGAACACCGCGTGCTTACGGCACACGCGACTGCGTAGACTGGACACTTCTCGTCGACTCCGGCCTCCGTCTGGACTCTCCCGACTCGAGACAACGGTGCTTTGCCGACTATGGCTTGGTGTCGCCTTCACCAAAGCTTTCGCCTTCCGAATCGGCATGAAAGACAGTGCTGCTTGCGGTCATTGCGGCAGCGATTAAACTATAGAGCACGTTCTCTGTCACTGCCCTCGTTACAGCGTGCAAAGACGGCAACTAGCTGCTGCGTTAACTCGCCTTGACGACAAACCTTTGTCTGAACAATCAGTGCTGGAAAGACGGCATGATTTGTGTGCTCACAGAAAATCAGTGAAGGCCTTACTGAACTTTTTGCGTGGCAGCGGCCTATTGTATAGACTGTAGCACCCCAGCTTCCCCCACCCCCTCCTTTTTTTTTTCTTTTTCGCGC